ATAATAGCATAAAACAAAATGATTTTAAAATTTTAAGTTTTCATGTTAAGTTTTTTTTTTTTTTTTACTTTTTGTTTTTTTTTTTTTTTCTTCATGAGCCACATTTTTATGAAATTTTTGGAAAAACATATTATTTTTCCAAAAAAAAAGAAATTTAAAAAATTTATCTAGTTAATTCTCCAAACAAAATTTACTTTGTAATAATGAATAGAATTTTTATTAATTAAAAAAAAATTTTCATCAGATATTCTTGAATTCATATTCTAATCAATTCACTAAAGTTGTCTTTTTTAAAGACAGGAAAGAATCTTACTTTTTTTTACTTAATCAAGAAGATTTAAAGAAGGTTATATTTACCACTAAGATTAATGGTCAGCTAAAAAATAGTTAAAAAAAGAATGAAAAGACTTTAGAAGGAACTGGAATCCTAAACAGGAAGCAAGGGATAAACCTCTACTCATGTTCAAAATGGGAGAAGGAGAATGGTCAACAGGGTGAAAGGAGCTATATCTAACTGCTAAAAAAAAAAAATATTAAATAAAATTTCAGAGTTTAGGTGGAGACATTTTAAAATATAAAGTTGAAGTAGATTTTAGAAGAAACCGAAAACCCAATCCTAAACAGGAAACAAAGAATAAACTTCAATTCCTGTTCAAAAGATTGGAGAGGAATGGGAACCGATCTACTCCTATTGAAGAAAAAAATAAGTAGTAAATAAAATTTCAGAGTTTAGATAGATATTTTAAAGTATAGAGTTGAAGTAGACTTTTGTAGGAACTGGAAACTGAATCCTAAATAGAGAACAAGGGATAAACCTCTACTCCTGTTCAAAAAATAAAAAGTAGTTCTGGAACAAGATGTTTTTCAAACATCTATAGTTCTATGTAAATTTATTAGTTATGAGGTATTCAGAAATTGTAGACTGTAATAAGTTCAGAAATCAAACCAGTATCATTCCTCTATAGACTTACTATGTAAAATTTGAAAATAAATTTCTGATCAATATTTTTTTAAAAAAAAAAGCAAAGAATTTTAACAACAGTATTTTTGAGAAATTTATTAAAGGAAAAAGAATCAAACCACACAAAAAATAGTAAAATTATTTTTATTCTCTTTTTTGTTTTAAACCTAGAACTAAAAATTTCTCTCAGCTCCTTGAAAAGACCATTTACATCATTCCCACATTGTTTTTTTTTATTTCATTAACACCAACATGCCCAAAGACTGGAAAAGACTTGCTGCACATTTCAAGAAATAAAATTCACAAAGAATTCAGTGAAATAACAGCATTTGATCTTTTAGAAAACAAATCTAGTTACTAATTTTTCATGATTTTATTCAATGGCATTCACTGTCAGAAATAGTATTAAATATCTAATTTACATTAAAAACTCCATCCTTTTAAATATTTAATAATATTTTCAGGCATATGTTTATATTTCCTAGATTTTATAAAAGGATGATTAAAATAACATTTAAACATTGTTTGGACTGTTTTCCTCATCTTTATTGAAAATTTTAAACAATCTATATTTCTGAAATATTTTAAGCTATAATTTATTTACACTATTTACATACAATCAGACTTTTATCCTCATCTTTATTGTCATATTTCAATGTTTCATTATTGTACATGTGATCAAATAATGGAATTTTGAAAATGTCAAACCCTTTATTTAAAGATGGGATTGTTTAGAGTTCCACATGCCATGCCTTTTCTGGATATCTCAGTTTCAGTTAATTCCTTTTAATAACTCAATTCTCCAAGATTTTTTTTTTCACCTCTGCTGTGGCCAGGTATTGAACTCAAAATTCTTTTAAAGAAAAAAAAAAAAAATTATTTCAACCAACATCTTCTTTTTATCCACTGGTTCATGTGTCTCTTCCATCATTAGGACATTTTTTTAAAATACATACCTGAAGATGGCCGGAATGTCTTTTTTGCAAAAAAAACATATTTATTAAATTTAAATAATCTTGTAAAACAACTCAAAAAATTAATTAAATCTTTAACCATGTTTCATACTTCAGCCAATCAAAAAAAAAAAGATTAAAGACTGGTTGGAAACATCTCTTTCTGAATATTCCTCAACCCATGCCATATTTTCAAGTTTTGGTATTACACTCTGGCATCTAATTTCTAATGATGGGTTGGTTAACCCCTGTTTTTCTCCCAATTGTTTTTAATTTCTTTTTGATTTGTCCAAGTGGATTTCCATTTTTAAATGTATTTTCTTTAAAAAACTTTTATCTTTTCAGACAATAAAACTCTAAATTTTGATTACCAAAACATTTTAAGACCCAATTAGAAAATTGTTCAGCCAGTCATATACCAATATTGACAGCAGTTAATTCTACTATTTTTTGCTTGAGTTAAATTTAAAAAAACTGAACATGTGATCGATGACAATGTTCTGGGGAAATTAGTTCAAAAAAACACTTAATATTTTAAGAATCAATTTTTTCTTAAGAACCTGAAAAATTTAAACATTACAATAGGAAAGTTGTGCATTTAGAGAAAATGAAATTTCAGGATATTTGATTTTAATAATGCACAGAACCTTTAAATCAAATAACCATTTCAACAAGAATCGTTAAAATTTTGGCAGAAAAGTTAAAATGAAATGTGCTAAATAACAAACATATTTAAAAATTTTACAAATGATAGGATTTTAAATGAGAAAAAAATTGTCACCTTTGGAAAATGATGATTAAAAATAGTAGGGAAACATTAAAAAAAAAAAAAAAGTTTAACTTTATTTATTGTGTTTTTTTTGTCTTTGCTTTGAGTTTTGATCTGTGAATACAGAACAGTGAAAAAAATGGATAGTGGCTCAGATGGATGAGAAAATTAGATGGTAGTTTTAAATAACAGTTGAATCCATTACATTCAATTACAAGTTAATACCCTTGGAAATGGGTTTGAATTACCCTTTTTCTCCCCCAAAATGGGCTGGCAATCAATGAAAGACCAGGTTCTATAGCCTTGGATGGTAACTGGTCTATTACCATGATGGAAAATTCAGCAACCTACTTTGAAAAAATCTGCCTTCAATGTATCAAAAAAATATACTGTTTTTAAATGCAAATGTATCATTTGGCACATTTTCAAAAGCGTTTTTAAGATCAAACAGCAATATCAGGAGTTGTCCTGATTAATATTGGTTTTTGAAGCTTTGGACTTCAACTTGAAAGGGAGATTGATGGATGTAAAAAATCATTTTTTTTTTTTTTTTAACATCCATGAAAACAGTAACATGTACCCCAAGGATGAAAAAAAAATTCAGTTCCAGAAATACAACTATTCAAGGCAGATGATAAAATGAGACAAATATGAAAATAAAATAAAACAATATAAAATGATTACCTGGAAAGCATGTGGCTATATATATGTTTAATCATTGCTCCCAAAGCAAGGTAATAATGCCATTAAAACAACAAAAATCTATTGAGAGAAAAGAACCAGGTTCTTAATTGAGGAACTTAAGGACAATAAAAGAACAGGTTTCAGGAAGACAATAAAAATAAAAATGTTGCATTTAAATTTTTAAAGATGTACTCTGTGAAAAAAAGCAAAAAAAGTGGAAGAGAATGCCAAAATAAGAAATGTGAAATAAACTGTTAGATAATACAGATACATTTTCCACTTTTAAGAAAAAAATTAATGGTGACAAATAGAAATCAAATGATGTAAACTTGAATTCAAAAGACAAGGTGACAATTTCACTTTTAAAAATCATTTTTAAAAAAATGAACAATCTTTTATCCAATAAAACTGATGAATTAAATAATTTAAAAAGCTGGATTTTTTCCAAATACACTAAAATATTTTTTAAAAAGTCTGGTTCTTTTTAAACAAATGTCATTGAAACTGTGAAGAAAAAAATCTGCCTCATCAGTCATGTATCAAAAGATACATGATCACCCCTAAGTATATATTACAAAGCTGGTATTTAATCAAGAAACTCATTGGTAATTATTACATTTATTCTGACTTTTAATATTTTAATTAAAATATAAAAGTTCTTGAATTGATATTATTTTTTACCAATGAATATTTTCATGAAAAGTATAGATGATTAAATGACTGTCCACAAGATATATAAAGATGTTTAAATATATTTGATGAATGGTAGATTTATAAATGTGTTAATAGATTTCTGTCTATAAAATTGTCTGGTACCATCTTATTTTTCTCAACTTTCTAACAACAGAAAATATTCATTGATTCAACATGGTCACAATTCTTAGATGTGTCATCAAAACACAAGACCAAAAAAAAAAAATGGTTGCTCTTTTGGAGATTGGCATCAGAGTTATAAAAACAAAAATATAAGCAACATTGAAACTGGTCAGTACTTAGATGGGTGACTGCTTGGGAATAGCACATGCTGTAAGCTTCCATGTGCAGGTGATGTAATGGATAACAGCTTAGAAGTTGAGATCGGAGAGCCGATTTCTAATTCCAATCGGGTTCGTTATATTCACACACAAATACCCTTGGGAAGGGTATGAATCCACCTTCTTCACCCCCTCAGCTATGGGTTAATTAGTAGGACTTGTATCAGTAAATTATCATTATCTCCAAAGAATTCTTACAATCTAAAATTGTTTTCTGGTTTTAAATAATCTAAAAAAGCTTGATAAGCTATAAATCAATCATGGAAAGTGAATAAAGGAAGAGTTGTTTTTGAGCCACATCACTTAAATCTTTAAGCAGGATGGGAAGAAGTGATATTCTTGCCTTCTCCAAAGGTATTAGTGCAAAAGTGATCACAACAGAATAGTCCAGAACTTGGGCTCAATTCACTAATTCCATTTTATGTCGACCACTGTTGAATTTGATTTAAATGACACCAACAAATTTTGATTGTCTTCATGTTATTTCCCAGACAAATGTTCAAATGAGCACTCCATTCATTAGTTCAGACATTTACAGCGAGGACTTACCATGCCACATACACAGGTTTGAATCATCCTCATTCCCTTTGTATTCCATATGATTACACCTGTTCCCATACGATCACCAAAGTTAAGCAATGTTGAGCCTGAACTCTATCTAGATGGGTGACCACTTGGGAATACCAGGTGTTGTAAGCTTAGATGTGTGGTTGGTATAATTGATAATGGCTTTGAATTGTTAATTGAAAAGCCAAATCCCAATTCCAATTGGTTTC